TTTGTTTGACTTCCGGAAATCCGGAAATTTCACAGTTGAAAAACAATTGTAGACGATGGAGCGCCCAGCTCACGCCTCAGCCAACGCAACAAAGACATGAATGAGTGCAAAGAAATCCTGACAACTTTTCACCACGGTCAGAGCCCATAATTGCAGTGGAATTTGCATCGCAAAGCAAAATACCAGCAGACAGTTGGTTGCATTCCATGTGAATGGACCTGGTTTCGTGAGAGTCCATATGGAGAAGGCCAAAAAGATCGTATTTACTGCTAAGGACACATAACAGAACAGGTAGTGAGCACGGACCAGCACCTGAAATCATGGCATTCTGCTAGCAATGAAACCAAATTAATTTCGAAATAAAAAAGGAAGACTGGACCAAAAAAATTCTGTCTCAGAAAGAAGTACAGGGTACACCATCGTGATGAAATGGTGGTGTCAGTACCACCCCCTCCCCCACCCCTCGAGGGAGGGTGTCAGTATGACCCCCACCTGAAAGAGGGACTCGGTACTACCTCCCCCCGCCCGTTCCCAAGCACCTACCTACCAGTTTCCCACCTTTTACAGTTTTTCCCCAAAAAATGTTGCTGTCGAGGCGGGGGCAGGGGAAGGGGGGGGAATAGTATAGTACACATGAAACAGGAAAAATCACGCGAAAAGTCAACACCGGGAAAAATTCTTTCCCAACGCAGCGCATTTTTCTCAAAGCCACATACGACGCCCCCCCTCTCCCAACAAAGGTCAAATACGACCCCCTCCCCAGCGGAAAAGTACGACTCCCTATCATCCTACTGTGTTTCACACAACGGTGCTGGGTCCTGGAGGAGTAGTGCTCGGTTTTCTACATATTTGGAAATGCGGAATCAATAGTGCTTCCTGGACGAATGCAACGCAGCGATTTTTAACTCCTACTTCATTTTGACACGTCTCCGACGGATGACTAGCCGGTAAACTCCGTTTATGGGGGAAGGGGGAAGGGTGGGGGAATTTGACCATTCGCAGCCCGCAGTGTAAGAATGTACCTGTGAAATTCAGGTACATTCTTACACTGAAGTAAGTCAGGGCATGTCAGCAGCGCGTGGGTTTGCCAGCGCCGCGGTACTTCAAGTTAATGGAAACTTTTGTTACGAATCTCGGCTGCCGCAAAATTTGAAAAGAATGGCGAATACGTGGCGCATCCTAAGGGGACTGAGCAACAACTGCACTCTAACTTACAGGTTCACTTGGTTAGCCGTGGGGGATGTGCGTGTTGTCATGGCTTGGTATTGGCATCTCATGGCGTAAACCGCTCCAACGATTTGGGAGGGCCGCACTTCAAAAATATAACAAATCAGGGCCATGGACTTTATGCCACACATTTTCACGCTCTCTTTCAATTTCCAAATTTTCGTCAAAAATACAGGAAGCACAGCTGACTTCAGCAGTAGGCTTACGAGGAGATCTTCATGGATCTTATGCCCATTCAATTGGGTCAACTTTTTTGCATTGAATAGGAACACGGGAAGTGTCCCACTGTAGCACGGGCTAGGGTATTAACCTTAGGTAATTGTAAGTAGAACAGCATGTTTTTTTCCATCGCCCACAATGAACAAGAATACAGTTACCTTGCTAAAAGTCATCAGTCCACGAGCCAAGGCTGTCAAGAAGATGAGAAGTGCCTGAAAACAAATTGGAATCTGAGTGTTCTAGAAAGCGGTAAAGTTTCCAGAAAAAGTCAAAGTATTCTTGAGAATACTGAGTTCTAGAGAATCGGCGGGCACGAAATGGGACGCTACACATGGATGGTTTCACGGTACTGGGAACGGCTTCTTTTTTACATCTTCCAGGTGCATTAGAAGCCTCCGGTACTGCCCGGCCACGCGCCTTTCTTCGGTGTCTCACGTTCATTACAAAAATCTAACACAAAGGGAAAGTATTTTTCTTCCCGCTCGAATTTGTATCAAATTTCAGAAATTGCAGTAACATTTCCAATTTACTTCAAAATTTCAGAATTTTTGGGATGAGAAAAAACAGGGGATTTTCTAGAAAGTACTGTGAGGTAATAATTACACCGATTATACGGGTAAAACATTCTGAACGCATACCGCTAGATACGCTGTTCCCCAGTAGAACAATTTTATGTCGATTTTTTCGCTAGTTCGGAAGAATTTCCGAGGCAAACCGTATACTCACCTCCGTGGATCCTGGCCCTTGCCAAGTGTGAGGAGAATGTGTCTCCAGCTGTAGTAGCGTGCCTCTTCCCCCAGCTGAATATGCATGCGAACATAGCTGAAGGACACTGACACCCGGGTGCCTTCTCCAACTCCGTCAGGGCTGCCGCATGGTCAGCCACATGCCTGACCATAGCCAGACGCGCTGCTCGCCTGCGCCCTCTCTTTTCTGGATGCTCCCTACCAGGCGAGACCTTGCTATCAAAGAAACACCTCGAAGATAACGCGGGCGGGGTATGAGCACCTGAATATCACCACCTTTCCTGAGTATCCCCACCCTTCGCGTGTACTTCCAAGTGGAGAAAGTAGCTTACTCCAGCAGCTGCGGACCCATCTACCTCGCATATGGAAAGGACCATCTTAGGAGGTGAATATGCAGTTTGTCTTTAATTTCTCTATGAATCCACTTGAAAAGGGAAAAGAATTCTTGATAGAGATATTTGAACATTGTGCTACGAAATTCTCTATTTTATCACAGCAGAAACTGGTAATCATTAGTGATACATAGTGATAAAAAGTACAGGCTAGTAACAGAATTTTTCGGAACCAAATAATTCACAACCGTTGTGTGACTCACCACATCGTAGATACAAATGGCGTAATAGAAGAGATGGTGACCGAACCACTCATTCCACGATTGGGGAAGTGGTTCCCACATCGTGAAACCACCTCGAGACATTCCACCAAGCACTACGAGCAATGTAGCTACAACGTAGAAAGCCTAAATGGTGTATTGTAAAAGGCACACTCCACGATTGTACCGTGAACAGGGCCGGGGAAAGGGAGGGGGGAGGAGGAGCAGGTCAAATTTTGCCAATTTATAATTGAAGAAAAAGGGAGAAAAGCGCTGGAAAGCTGCTATCTGATGTCCCCAATTTTGCAGCTGATCCTCAGCACTGGACAAAAGCGCAATGTGAAGAGACCGTGCGAGCGCAGACCAAAAGCTAGAGAAAAGGATGAGAGAACAGAAAGACGGGCGCAGTTTGGCTTTGTGGCAGCACCGAATGGTAGTCAGCCGAGTTTGTACAGGTGACTTTGTGAAAAGCTGTGAGTTTTTGTAGCTCACTGAGAGCATTTACGCTGTCCCCCCACCCCCCCCCCGCACCCCCCAGAAGCAATTTCCCTGTCACTGACAAACCTCAAATTCCCCACCCTACTTACCAGGTAATCTATCAATCTTCCTAAAGATTCCCAAACTTTTCACTAGTTTCTCCATAAGACATCCAGGCCCCGACAACTCAGGAAAAAAATCGCCGAGCGCAGATGAGCACAACAACTAACAATAGAAACATTTGTTCTGCAGCGGCACCAACCAGTAGAATAATCGGAAATAATCACTATCAATGCCGGATACGACCCCATTCTCCTCATGGAAGCCTCCCAATGGTCCCACGAAAGAAATCGAGGCTGTAAAGGAGAAAAGCAGTATCAAAACCTCTAATCTATGTTGGATATTGACTATATCAATTAAGGTATAAGGTTTAGGATAATCGGCGGTATATTCAGTATCAAGAAAGGGGTTACGTGAAGAGGATCGTAATTTGCCGCGCTGCTGGGCGTCGCGTGCGACGTCCGCCTCCGCAAAGGACGATGGTTTCAGGCAGTAGATGGCGACAACATGCAATTAAGGAATCGAGAACAGTTAATGGAGTGTCTACGATGACGGAGTCTACATGAAGTCCGGAGCTTCATTCGACAGGTTAAAACGAGTTATGAAAACGCCGCGCCCATCGCCGCGCGTGGCGGGCGGCGGCGCGTTGAATTCAGCGTGTTGAATGCGAACGCGAGCAAGTTCTCCGCATTGTTTTCGCCCGGAAGGCCAGCACTATGGTTTAACAGGTGGAGGAGCAAGTATTCATAGCACCGCTCGCTCTTATCTAGGCCCACCATTTTTGGAGATGCAAGCCGGCCTACCAGTCTGCCAGATTGTGGCGCGTTTCGCCACAAAACGGACAATATTTACATTCAACGCGCAAATTTCTTGAAACTGGGGCGCTTCTCTTTGAAAACTGTTGGATATGTTTAAATTTAGCTGAGATTAAGCCGCGTAACAAAGGTCCGATAAGGTATTAGCAAAAGATTTGCAAGACAGGCAAAACCCACTCAAAACGCCCACTACAGCTCACATCCGCTCGAACAAGACACGATACAAGACAACACAGCGCATGCCGGGCCTATGAACTGCTATAAAAATAATCCCATTTAAAAAGTTCTGACTGGAAGAAGCTAAGGAACTGAGCGGTCGGGATTTGCTGTTGAGGAGGGGAGGGGCTGCTCTTCGCCCCACTCCCTCTGCCCGTTCAACAGCAGTTTTTTGGATGAAAACTGGGGAATTTCCGTAAATTTTCCAAGAAAAAATGGTAGTATGTTGAGAGAAATACGAAAATGATCGGTGGCCTGAGGATTGGGAGAGGGGGGTTCCAGAGATGAGGGTGCTGGGAATTCCCTCCAACTGCAGAAGCGCCTTGTTCCCAAATAACTATGCATTTAATCTCCTACTTACTTTGACTCAATGGGAGCGACTTTGTTCGCTCTCATTTTTGCCTGCATCGCTTTTCCTTTCGCCATCACACCACCAATTCTTCCTGAGACAGTTGTTAAGACGCTCGCCAACGCTGATAATGCACCACCAGGAGGCGGTGAAGCGGCTGAAACAGAAAATTTTGAAAATTTCTTGGCGTACTAAAAGGTTCCGCTCCTAATGCATTTCAGAGCAACCTATCGACTTGAAGAAAATATCCAAATTATCTTAATTTTGAAAACAAAATAAATTATAATAAGTCTATTTCACGCGTCTCACCAAGTGAGAAAAGGGAAGAGGTTGGTACCCCCCCCCCCTTTCCCCCCTAAGGCAAACAGCGCTTGTAGTAGTTCAAAAACGCGGTAGTTTTTGAAGAATAACTCTGGGCACAGTGCATACTCCAAGCCTTATAACTTACGTAGCATTATCCGAGGCATTGTAGGTGTCTGGCTATTAATGTAGTAGTACAGAAGGTAATAAGCCGAGACTTCCTAAACAGCAGCTCAGGTGGTTCAGTTGACGTTGTGGAGTCGTAAGTGCCGTTGACGCGTGGACGGGCAAAATGTCCGTTGAAGCGTGAAAAACCTCCGCTTCGGAAGGCGTATTGCGACTTTTTGTGGTTGAACACAACGTAAGCACCAACTAATCGAGAGGGAGTTCGCTGTTGCCAAGTGTGTTTCCGCTTCACGACACTTTACTCTCCATTGTCATTTTTTTCACAATTAACAACCTTTTCAATAGGCAAATGGGTCGTTGGTGCCAGTGAAAAAAAACAATAAAAAATGGCGCCGTTACCGCCCACGCAAGCCAAGGATCAGACCCCGAAATGAATACAAACCGAGCAAGCCACTGTTATTTTTCACAATTAACCATTCTACCAAATAGTGAATATTGGGGCAGTTCGGCGAAGGAGGAGGGGGCACTTTGTACTTTTTACTTCCCATAGACGTGTCCACTCATCTAGATAGCTATTTCATAAGCTTACAGGATTCGAGAGGTTGTAGCATGGTAGCTTGGCAAGCCTGCTTCAGCTTCACAAGAGTTCACAGGTTTGACCAGAGTGAGACTTGTGAACACCTTGTGAAGCTCTAGTGTGGATCTAGTGAAGCAGCGAAAGTGCAGAATGCCCCCCCCCCCACCGCCACCGAATTGCGCTGTGAATCGTACATACCATTGAAAAAAAATGCAAAATCCATCAGAGGTTATTTTTGGTCGCTGGGGAGGGGTCGTATTT